ACACGGTTTTTTGAACAGCGTTTATGCATAGTTTTCAACTGGTAAATAATCTATCATATTGTGAATAAATATATCAAACTTTACTTGTTTTCTCGTCTATTGATTCTCCCTTAATCATACTGACACCACCAATTTTACTCTGAAATCGTATGCTGTTCTTTCAAAAAAAGTATTTGTAATCGAACGGTTTCGTACCAGTTTTCACGCTATGAATGCTCTCTCCGACCGAACTTTCTTATTGGGATTAGTGTTCTAGTTGTCCTATGACGGTAACTTTGGGGCGTCATATGGAATAGTTAAGGCTCACTCGATTTAATTCAGCGGCAGCGTTTCCAGCTTGCTCATGCTAAAATAAATGCGCTCTCACGGCCAAGCTAGCGTAGCAGCTGAATTCCCGCTTACGCCCCAGCGTACCGTTCATAGACAACAGAACACTAGTCCCATAAGATAAGTTTCGCGTCGCGAGGATGCATTCATCGTTCTGAAAACGCTACGAATACCGCTGTCGTATTCAAATAACTTATTGAAGAAACACATACGATTTTTCAGCGTATAATGTGCGTGTCATATGATTAATGGAGAATCATAGACGAAACAAGGTAAAGTTTGAAATCATATATTTATTCACATATGGATATGATTATATTACAGTTGAAAACATGCAAAAGCGCTGGTTAAAACCGTTGTCATACTCTTCTCTATTATGCACTCTTGAAGTTATTATTAAAGAAATTTTCATACTTTATTATCGTTTTCACTGCCTTGAGTTTTTCCTGGAGCATCGGCCTGATCTAGAACCACATTGAGGCAATTTTGTGCGCAAGCTAGAGAAAAAAACTCAAACAAAATGAGAATAGGTTTGTATTATATATACATTAAATATTATTATCTAGGCAGCGGTTGCCGAATTAACGAAGTCGCGCTAGTTAAAATTCCCCTGCATTTGACATCTATGCAGGAGTCCGTGTAACTCCCTGAAATTGCGCCATACGCATTAATTACCTCCGCTCCGCAACGAGTGCAGGGGAGGTAATGCGATTCGGTCGCACTGTGATGGTGTGTGTGTGGGTGTGTGTGTGTGTAGTGTTCGCGGCCCGAGTCGATTCAGCAGCAGCTCGCCTTAGGGCATCCAGTCGAGCGCAGCTCGCCTTTAGGCGCGTCTCAGCCAGCAGCAGCCAGCAGCGAGCCAGCTGTTATACACATATCATTGCTTACACGCGTCGCTTCAGTGCGTATGCACTCTCCTGTGAGTGCCCTTCTGCTCTAGTTTACCTCCGCGCAACAGAGTTGCCGCAGGGGCCGCGGGTAACTGTAATTCGTGTCGTTGTGTGTGTGTTGTACAGGGCTCGAATTAACGGACGCAGGCACCGACGTGACAATGCCCGTCGGTGCCCTATTCATCGCCCGTTACTGCCCCTGAAAAATCCACCCCGACCGACGGCAGTCACCTGCCTTGCCCTTTTTGTGTAATTGCCCGTCGCGCTATGCCCTTTATCTACTGCCTTAGTTTCGTTTAGTCGAGCAACATAACACGTGGCGCCTCGTGCGTGCTGGCAGTTTGTCGAATGTATGACGCTTAAAAGCCGATAGTCGGCAGGTAGGAAATAATTAACGCATCGCGATAATTATTCGTCTCCTGATAGCGATGGCATGGAAATTTCTGCGTTCAAGTCAACTGCTAACTTCATTTAGCAGCAGGGCGGTACAGGGCGTCAGGTGTTACTGCTTGTTGTAAGCTTACATGGCGGGCATATTGTTTTGTACATTAAAAGCAAGACCGATGTGATGTATCGAATTGTTCATGAGTTTCCTATATTTTTACCAAAAGTCCTTTGTGGCCCCTTATCAAAATTTGAGAGTTGCCTGTGGTGCCTTTTTAAAATTAGCCTCTGTGCCTTCCAATTTTATAAGAAAAAATTCAATGCGCGTATTTTCTCACATGCCTTAAAAAAATAGCGCTGCCCTTCTCGTCGCTTAATTCAAGCCCTGATGTGTGTGTGTGTGGTGCTGCTGTGTGTTGTGTGTGGGGTGTTGTGTGTGTCCAGCCCGCGCGGCGCAATCGACTAGCGCGTCGAGTCAGCGAAGCGGGGCCGAGTCAGCAGCAGGCGAGTGAGGTCAGCAGCAATACCAATGCAGCGCGTTCTCCCTCACGTTGCCGCAAACGGGGCGCCCGGTTCTTTGCCGCGCGCTCCCGTTGGTGGGCGGATAACGTTCCCCCCTGTTTCAATCGTTGGCGCCCCGTTTAACAATACTCTCCGCCCCGATTAAATGTCCACGCACAATAAAAGCTTTCCAGCGCCGCGGAACTCGAGGCGTCAAGAAGTACAATTTGGACCAGGTATACCCGCTACGGTGGATTTTTACGAGTACCACGGCATGCACTGCAGACAATTACAACAGTCTAAACCTTCCCACCACCCAACACTAACTGTACACCGACTCGGCATATCTTATATATTACAGAACCCCAAATACCGCTTATGGTGTGGTGGAGATTTTAAAATCCGCATTAATTAGTGGTACGGCCTAAAAAAACCACGCCCCCTCCCCGCCTTATTTCATCCCCCCCCTCCCCCTTCCCTTCCCTCCCCCCTAGTTTGAATTTCATTCCTGGGGAGAACCCGTGCAATGAGCCTGGCGACGGTCAGCAAGCGCCACCAGCGAGCGGCGGAAGTCAGTCAGCAGCAGGCAGCAGGCGAGCGGCGAGCCAGCTCGTAACACTTAACATTGTTACATTGCGTCGCGGAGCGATATGCCACTGCTCCGTGAGGTGCCTCTGTCTAGTTACCATATTTTTTTCAGCCTAATCCGTGTTCCAAGAAAATGGGCAGACGTGCAACCGCATGATCTTAAAAATAAGGCACATGCACGTTATGTTAATATTTTAAATTGAAACCTCAGACTGCGGACTCCCTGCATTTTGCTGCGGGACTCCCTATTTTAAGGGTAGCAGAGTCCATTGGGACTCCCCGTGTTCAAAGTTAATTTCTACCCCGGTCTAGTGTCTAGATTGCTCTTAGGACATTTCATAGCTTTGAATGTAGTAGCAGGACTGACATAGCACTCGATGAAAAATGGCAGGTTTATTTCCAAATCTTGATTGTGGGACGCTGCGAGCCACAATGACAAACTATCTCTACTGAATAAAAGAATAATGACCAATTGCATAACAGTCATATCAGGAGTAGCACCAAACCTGGTGAATGGGGGGCGTGTCGTTAAGCACAGTCACAAGAGAACATTGCTCAAGGGTCAAGTGCACCTGCTCGTTTTCGTGTTTTAATTGAATTTCAGTGATCATGATTTGAATCATCAAATGCTCGTCAAAAAGCACTCGTTGGTGCACCCATCTGCGTTTGTTATTGCGATTAGCGAATTTTGATGAGCCAATTGATGTGCAGAGCTTCAGTGCGGCATGACCCATCATCGTGACATGCCATTTACGAACATCTTGAACGAGCACTGACCTGACACGCGTGTACGTAGATACCGTACTGATACGCGTGTATGTAGATACCGTACTGATACGCGTGTATGTAGATACCGTACTGATACGCGTGTATGTAGATACCGTACTGATACGCGTGTATGTAGGATAGCTATGCGCGATACTGTCAGTCATTCATATATTTAAGCAGAAAGTACTGCGTGCCATATTCTGTGGTGTATGCATCTAGGAGAAACCACAGTCAATGTCACCAACGACTGCTGTATCCTACTACATTTGTATCCCCGACACATGATGCTATATACATATATATATATATACATACATAGAACAAGACACAAGACTACAGAGTGCCAGTAAATACATCTCTGTAGCAATGTTTCCTCTAATTATTAGTAGTCAGTGTGCGCAAAAATCGTATGTTGTGCAAATTTAAACTTGAAATTGCAGCTGTACACACCGGAACAAGAAAGGAGAAGTCACGTAAATTAGTAATGTACAAATGTGGTATTTGAAAAACCGACTAACTAGTACTAGTACTAGTACTAGTAGTTTAGTAGTTAACAGAAACAGTTATCCAAGAGATTGTTTTCAATAAGTATAATTATTAATTACTAGATTATTTTAGGTAACTAACATTTTGTGCACACATTAATTTCCTTTGTGCGCTGGTTGCAAAACATGCGCGCGCGACAGAGCTTAGATGGAACACTGCTCTGCAGTACATGTCAGGTTTCATACAAAACTGGCACACTTACACTTGTATTTGAAGATGTAGAAAGCATCTCAAACTTGACGATGGCACTTGCTGCTACCTGGATTGTGTCATCCCATTCGGCACCTACAAACAACAAATACAAGACAATTTCATCCATTGTAACACTACACTGATGTCTGCATATGTGTATGCACTCATACATAGAATTCTCAACAAATATAACCCGTTGTTTTTAATGTGTATATCACAAAATCACATTAATTTTTGCTGTTTTATCATCCTGGTATTTGCATCCCATGTTTACGCTCTCAGCTCTAGTCCTGCTAATCGCGTCATAGCACAGGCAACATGTGTTTAGAAGTACCCTGCTACACTTTACCTAAATTGTACTAGCTCGCCCAGCCACCAAGCTGGGAATGGTCACGTTTCTAGGCAAAAAAGCAATAAATTGTGGCTCATGTATCTTTTTACTTGTTTTGAGTGGTGATATTGAAAACTTAAACCCTGGCGCCGATTAAATTTCTATGTGGTTCTTGTTGGAATGCCGCGTATCGCTCCAATCAGAAAGCAATTTGTGTGATGTATGCACGTACATGGTTTTCATACTTCCGTTGCTTCTGGATGTGAAGAGGTGAAATTCTTAATACATGTTAATTCCCCAATCTAGTGTTTGGATTTGTTCCCAAGTGTGGTCATTCCTAATCTCTTCTGAATAGTTTTTTTGCGACATTGATGATTTGTGTCGCACACCGAAATTATTTTTCCCCGCCTTCAGGGCTTCTACTAATTCTTTCCAAAGAACCCAAATATCAACTCCTCCTGCAACGCACTGCTAAGAACTCTCGTCCTAGGAATTAAATTAAAATTCCTTTGAGTAAGCTTTAAAGCATTCAAAGGTGATGCCTAACCGCCAGCATCCTCAACCGTCATTAATGATCACTTTGCCGGCCAGATATTAGTTTCTTGGCACTGAATCTGAAAACTTGACCCCTCTAATCCCATCACAGTGAGGTATTCCCCCGATAACTTTAATGTTTATAGGAAAGACCGTAACCGTCATGGAGGTGCGTTTTTAATGCATGTTAAGATAAATCCATTTCTAGCTCTCTAACTTAATCCATCCTTTGATGAAACAAGGAGCGAACTTACTTGGCTGAAGCTAAAATATTAAGAATTCTTCAGACCCTTATACTCAATGATTGTATAGGCCCCCTCTTGAGCAACTCATTGGAATCACATAATTCGGTGAACGCCTTCTCTCTCGTCATGATTGAGTCCTATCCACCTCACTCTTTGTGTGACTTCCATTTGCCCGGAATTGATTGGCAGTCCTCTTTCAGTGACTGGCCCAAGCGAGATAACCCAATTATGTAATCAACGTCGCTAGATCCTTGTGCGACTAGTCAATTCCTACTCAACCTTGTCCTCACACCAGCCTTACATCGAGTGCACTTGAAGACTTGTAGTAACATCCTTGAATCTAGTATTTACAAATTTTCCCCAATCTGGTGCTCATCTATATCTGTGGTCCCTAGGAATTAAGTGACCAAGCATGATTGTGTCATCTTTACTTGAGATCTTTAATCCAGTTAAAAGCTAGCTATTTAGGAACTACGTGAGATTCCCGCTCTTTGATATTTAAAGGCTGATAAAGAACAACTTTTTAAATCTACTTTACTGAGTTTAATGCCTCAGTACTTTCGCAGTGATACGACAAAGAGATCGCCTTGAATCTAATTTGGTTGCTAATTAAAACAGCTATCATCTACCGGGAGGTAAAACCCTATGATCCCTCGTAAGGTTATCTCAGTAATAAGGCTTCGTCCTTGTTGTCCCTCTCCTTAAAGAGTAATCTATGAGGGAAAGGGATCGCCTGCTTTCAAAGGTCGCATGGGCGTTCAACAACGCACGCGGCAGCTAGGTCTAGGACATATAGCTAGTATCGAAAGAAATTTTGTCTCGCATTAAAATCGTAAACTTCCATCGAAGTTGTTCTAAAATGGTATTGTTTGTGATAACTATCACTTTGCAGATGGGAGATCAAAACCGACTTTCTGGAGGTTTAACTGAGAAGTGTATAAACGGGAACATGGTATCCCATCTCTTCTTATCGTGATGATGGTATTTCCTGCGAATGGCGTCTCTCGCATACCGAAGGCTGTTTGCCCTAGTAATCAATTCAAATCGGTCTTCTCTACCTTCTTGTGTAACAGCTTAATCGCAATAAGGCAGCAGTCCCGCAGCCACTTTAAATTATAAGTTCCGCGACTGAGTGTAGACCCAAAATTGTTATCTCCCTAAGTGGCGTGATGCTCGGTACTTAAGAATATATCTCCACAATACTAGGCTGCTGGTCCCGATAAGGTGCCATGTATTTATTCTGCATCATTTTGCCATGAGCTTGGGCCTTCTCTAGCTACACATTTTGTTTTGTCAGTCATACGATCATAGGTTCTTCTTGCGCTTTTGATTGGAAAAGGCTCTTAAATACCACAGTTTTATAAGGTGGGTGGATGCTCCCTTGCATCAAATTATCGGCCCGCAATACTCTGATCTTCCTCTTGCTCTAAGGCATTTGAGCATATAGTCTACTCTTCTGTTATAAACCACTTTGGATAGCATGATATCCTGTCGACATCATCAACATGGGTTTTCGGCACGGGTTTTCTAGCAAGTTACCCCAGTTAATCAACGTTTTTCATGACTGGTACACTAAGTCTTGACAAGTCTCAGCAGGTTTTGATGCAGTAAATTCCTAGATTTAGTAAAGGCGCATTTGATAGGGTTCCTCAATGACTTTTAATCTCAACCTGGTCACTTGGTTTGGATACTACTAACGTTAAAATGGATCTCTGACTTTTTGAAGGTATAGAATTCAAATTGCTGTGTTAACGGCAAGCATGTCGGATGTGGCCCGCTGTCCACATCGGGTATACCCCAAGGTCAGTGCTTGGTCACTGCTGTTCTATATCCTTTTATAAATGATTTGTTGGCGGAAACTGACCCTTTCTACTTCTATTACGCCTCTTTGGCTGACGACGCTGTACTGTACCGGCACCATCTACAATAAGAATGACCAGTTACCCTCCAGAGGGTCCTTACTCGTAGCTGAGAAGTGGGCAACATCAAATGGGGTAATTCATATCAATACAGAAAAGTGTAAAATTCTTACAGCATATACTGACGTCTCCCAAAAATCACCACTTAAGACTTTTACTATAACTCGTTTGTATCGCATAAATATCTATCTCTTACCCGACTACTGTATCAAATATTTGGGTGTTTATATAGTAACGATCTTCGCTGGAATCCCACATTGAGCTAAACAATTTGTAAGAAAGCGCACCGATCATTCGCATGCTACGAGCGTAATCTTAAGCTTTGCTGATCTAAAAACTCGGTTCCCGTACTTTTCCAAAACTATGGTTCTGCAACATATTATCAATATGCTTCACCAGCCTGGTGCCACGCTATAAGACTTCAGGAAACTGCTCTAGATTGACACCATTCAGCATAAAGCTAGGAGATGGGTCTCACAGTAAGAAACTATGATGATAGTACGCGATGTTGTTTTGGCATCGGTCTTGAATGGCCTCCCCTCGTGTTCCGCTTTCTTCAACTCCAAAACTCAATAAACTTTTCTATAAAATTTATCAATGGTGAAGATGAAAAATTGGCATTCCATTCTTGCTTAATGAGGCCTGTTCGCTGCAGCCGCGCTCATCTGAGCGTGATCAACTGTTTTCGGACAATGTACAAAACTTACTAAGGATCCCTTTAAGATTTAGCTTCATTTGTCTCTGTGATTTCCGTATTGGAATTCACTGCCTTCATCCATTGTAATAAGCAAATTCACAAACTTTTTCCGCTGCGATCGCAGTGTGGATCTTTACCGACGTTGGATCCACTCTCTCCATCTTCGTTATAGTCTCCAGGACTTTTGAAGATTATCACTTATGAGGTTATGAGGTTATGAGGGCATGTATTGGGCTCACGTAAATGATATAGCGTGATGACTATTGTGTGCATCCATATGAACTTAAGAAGAGGCTGATGCATTTTTACAGTGGGCATAAACTAGAATTTTTCTTACCTTTCACTACATCCCCATACTTCACAACATAGGCTTCTTTCATTTGCTCAGTTCTTAGCCTAAAGAAGATAAACCGTTGAGCCAGTGAGTTACATATCATGAACCTAGAGAGAAACCTCCTTACTCTTTCCCCATCACGTCTAGCAAGAGTTCGCCACTAGGTTAATGATCAATGTCTTTGACAGCCCAAACAAAATTTACACTTCTCTTTCCCGATACAAACGTGACTTCGGACTATTTTCTTTTGACCAAGCACTACTCGTTACGAAGAATATATGCGATCGGGTGCACAGGCACGAATGTTGCCTCAAACATTCTGTCACATTACAGTTGTAAACTTACTTTATTAAGTCAGAAGCAGTCGTTGATTTAGCCAATCCTCTTCCCTTCTGGCAGGTGACAGATGCATGAGTCAGGTGCACCTGTGTGTGCGTATACATGCGAGCGATAAAAAATTAGATTGTGCACAGTCACAAAGACAAGGTAGACAAGAAATTTTGAACCATCGGACTGTTTAGGTTTTTGTTGAAATGTTTTGGAAAGAGAACTCGAACTTGCATTTTTATTAAAACTATAACCCACGAGTGGCGTAGTCATAATGGGCACAAAGAGATGACAATCCTACGCTATTACTATATGGTAATGCATTGCACTGCTGCATAGTTCAATAGAATATATACTGCTAGCAAAAGCTATGTCGACATCCTGTACATATCAGTTAGAGATAACCTAGAAAACACAAGCATTCATCGCAAGTAGTCTGCTAGAGTGCAAACCTGCCCGGCTTCGCCGGCTGTGAAAACCACAGAGCCTAAAAAAGGCCCCGTCATTTACTTGACGGGGCTGATTTTCTCTAGACGGGGCTGATTTTTTAAAACTGATGAATTATGTAAGAAAACCTTTGTTTGCCGGTGTTTTAAGACGTCCGGTGTTTTAGAAAAAGTATCCCCCAGAAGTTACACCACAACAGGTGTTCTTTCTTGATTTGACTTTCGTTTTCAATTCTTGGAACATCAAAATTTGACGGGGCGGAAACAAAGCCCTGTGGACACCGGAGACGGGGTTGTTTACGGGGTTTGGGCCGATCGGCCCACTGAAAAGGCGAAGCCTGAAACCGGCACGGTTTACCTGTGGTACAGAGATCTCACATAGCATTCTCCATAAGATGTCAACCTGCTGCTGATAATACTGCTTCTCTGCACTCGCCACGTGTACAACAACTGCCACGTCCTGATGGAGAAACCAAAGAACACACACATCACCGTTAGCCTTAGCAATGAAGAGAAAATTGAGCAGGTCTAGGAAATCTATTAATGATGTACTGTATATGCTATATCAGGTTTTCTTCTGAGGGAAAATTAGACAAAGGAGGTAATGGCCAGTTTCAGTGGTGCCACTCAGGATATTACAAAAAAAGTATAATATCTGTCCAGAAAAAAGTATCGAAATTGTCTAAAAAAAAGTATTAAAAAAGTATAAATTTGTATCAACCTACCATGATTTGTAGTCACTTTTTACCTTATATGTTGTTACCGAATACATTATAGCCTATGTGCAGCATACAAACAAGCTTCAGGAATGGTGTGTGCAATGCCATGATGAGTTGTCTCTTGAACCCTCAGTCTGGAATATTTCAATGCAGTGTTTCCCCCTGGCTAGAAAGCTTTGTGAGGTGGTAATTTTTTTGTGATGGTTGCACATTTCGAGATCCTAGCAAAGTGAGCAGCGCAGGTGCCGGCCAATGTAGGAGGGTCCAAGGGCATGCTCCCCCAGGAAATTTTTGAAAAAATGGTGCAATTTGGTGCATTCTAAGCTATTCTGAACACATTGTACGAGACTCTTGAATCTCTTTTTCAAGTTGTGTTGTCAAAAGTTTCGTCAGCGAGGCGGTGTTTTGGACAAATTTCTGTGTGGCAGCTGAGAATTTGAGCGAGGTGGCCTGCCTCGCTCGTGTCAATGCAGGGGAAACACTGTGCAATGCGCACTGACAGCAGAGCTGAGAGCAAAAACACTCCACTGAACAGAGCACACATCACTCCTGCAACAAGACTAGCAAAGCACATCTTTACTTTCATCAAATTCAGTGTACCTAAATGTATGTCCGAAGAGTTTTGACCATCTTTGGAAAAAAAAAGTATTTAAAAGTATTTATGCATGAAAAAAGTATGAAAAAAGTATAAAAAGTTCATTTTCTTTAAAAAAAGTATAAGGTGGCAGCACTGCAGTTTGGGACAAAAAGGATGGCACTCCAACCAATCAAATAACTGAAAAGTGTAGACCCTGTGTCACATGACTCAATAAACGAACATGGCAATCTAAATATGCTGGAAGCACAGAGTGAATCTGGTGATCTATTTGTTTTTGGGTTGACACTATTTTGACAACGGCGGGTAAATACATGAACATTTTCACATCGGCGATGTTAAATTTGACAACGGCGGTGCGCCACTGTGCCTCTTATGTATAAGAAACCCTGTGTATATTTCGCGGTGGTTTATTTTTCACGAATTTCGCGAACACGTCCCCGACCGCAAAAATAACAACACGCAAAAATAACAACACGCTGTTCTTCACTGTTTAAGGAATTCACCGACCGCAAAATTAACCACTCGTGAAATTGTCCGTCAAGTCTGAATTCGCGAAATTATCTGTATGCGAAAAATATGGCGTATACAGTACTGATGACAGCTCAGTTAGGTGGAGCCACATGCACGTGCACAGCCGCTTTCACTGTCCTTAATCATCGGGATTCGTCACATAGTATGATACCTTGTTGTTTAGAAGATTTTGCTGAGAATCTAGACGAATGACTTCGTGAAATGCTGGAGTCCATGTTTGCCCCTGCTTCACTGCGAGACAGCAAACACAAACCACATTACAAATAGTTGTGGACAAGACAAGAGCATAAATACAGTCTTTTGAATCTGATTCAATCGTTTTTATGTTACATTATACCTGTCCAGGTATGATATCTGTCATATGAACCCCATTTCGCCGGATCGCAAACTTATAGTAACTGTGAAGCGATTCTCTATCCATACCAGTAAGGATGTCAAGATTCTTGCTATAGTGCTGCCCTCCAGTGAGTAAACCTTCCTGTTTGATAAACTCTTGGGCACTAAGTGCCAATGGTTGCAGAGTATCTGTAGACTCAGTGCTGTGCTGTGGCTCATTCTTAAGCTTAAATGGCGAAGCTTCCACTGCCACATTCAGCAACTTTTCTCTGCTGTCTTGCTTAACCTCCACTGCAGAATTATCAGAGCCTTGAGGTGATGAGCCAAACATGGAATGCAGCTGAGGAATGACAGTGTCACCACACATGTGGACGTCATACCTACAATAAATGACAGTGTCACCACACATGTGGACGTCATACCTACAATAAATGACAGTGTAACAATAAATGATAGCGTCACCACACATGTGGACGTCATACCTACAATAAATGATAGCGTCACCACACATGTGGACGTCATACCTACAATAAATGAGCAAGAGAATTCAATTCGAAATCAATAATTTCTTCATTTCTGACAGATGCCACAATGGAATAAGTGATGTTACCCATTTGCATGCAGAAGGCGCTGCACGTGCAAACACAAGAGCATCTCTCGGAGTTGCGTCAGATTAGCGGATCCATCCGCTGCGTGCGCATTTACAAGTGCTACTCCTGCCTTGCCTTGGGCCGACATGCTGTACTTCTCTCCAGCCTGCAGCACATCTCGAATGCCATGCTGAAACGTAACAATAAACGTGATCTGACACATAATATAGATAGTCGCCTCAGCTATGTGCAATTTGAACTCGAATCTAAGCTCAATGTGCTGTCTAGTTGTGCTGATCTCATGGATCGAGTTAACGTGCAAGCAGTGGCCATTAGAGGTTAAATATGCGCACTTGCGGCCCACGTTTCAGCAATGCGAGTAGAATGTACAACAAGAACGATAATTAATCAACATTTTACTTTTGAACTAAAAGTCAATTGTGTAAATACAGCTTGAGATTTCTTGCTTTAAAGTACTATATGACATAACATAATTACCTGAAAGGCAGCCTTTCTGTTGAGAAAGACGGCAAGTGTGTGTTCCTTTGTAATGCAATTTCTGATTGGTAGTTTCCATTCTATAGATTTACCAAGCAGGTGATCTCCAATCTAAATATGTATGACACAAACAATTAATGATAGTTTTACCATGAAACTGCTGGTCTGTAGTGTAGTATACATAACATCAAGAGTGCATAATAGACTCTATTATGCACTCTTGATAACATTGATGTGTACACACCACACGGAGGCCTTATACTCATTAGTGTGTTACTCTCCAAATACATGATATCATAATCGACTGATACGCACAGATAGACATATATATATGATATAACACGTTATATTCCTGTCCTGTGTATTCTAATTCTGTGCACTTGAATACCTCATAGGCTGCTATCATCATGGCCTATATTTATGATTTGACAGCAAGGAACATTTTTATGGATTAATTTAGACACTACTAGTAGTACAGTAAAACTCGCAAAGTCATCATCGTCTAACTCGTCAATTCGCATAAGTCGTCGACTCATGGAAGTCAAAGTACCGATTTTCTCTCATAGTAAATCCATTGGAATAGCCCCGCCTAAGTCGTCATTTATAAGTCGTCATTATGTACAAGTCGACGCCCTCAGACAGGTCCCATGTAATACAAACAACAGTAATTTTCCATCTATAAGTCGTCATCAGAAATGCCGATGGCGCGCGCACGCAGTGTACAGTCTAGGACTCTAGGGGATGTGCGAGCTGGCTGTCACAGCTCACATTTTTCAGCTCGCACACCTCCCCCAGATTCCCCAGTGTATGCAGCCCAATGCAGGGTGCGAAATTAACGCAAGTCCAGAGTCCAATGCTCCCTGATTTACTGCCGGACTCACTGATTTGACATAATAATGGAGGAGTCCGTGTGACTCCCTGAAACTTCTGCTATACCAACTAGTTCGTTCCAGAGCACGGCATCGCGGAAATACCATATTTTGTCAGCAAGTGTTCCAAGAAAATTTGGCAGACTGAGGCAGAAGGCTATAGTTCTAGAGCTATACTAGTACTAGTTTTTAGGTTTAGAAGAAGCGACTGGTGAAGAAACACAATATTAAATACGCAGCAGACATTTAACCGTATACGGCAGAGTATATCCACTTCTGCTATTTTACAGTATAGTACTTCTGATTGGCTAGTATATTTATGTATGTGTATATACTATATATATGTATGTTAGTATAGCTCATAGGGTCTATGTCCCTCAGGGTACTGCCGCGTTACTGCAAGAACGTACCCTGGTACGGTCCGCGTTATACCCGAACGACCCTGGTAACTATCTGATATGGTTAGGGTTAGGATTAAGGTTAGGGTTACGGTTAGGGTTAGGGTTAAGGGAGTAGGCGTAGGTGACTCCCTAGACTCGTTAGTGGAGTAGGCGATGTACGGTCGGCATATTAGATAGTACCAGGGGTACGTTCCGCAGTACCCGGGGGACATAGACCCTCTCAGCGTTAGTATATTATGAATGTGTTGGCTACACTTTGTGATCAAACTTTCTCATCAGCTGCCCCAAAATTATGGAATAAGCTACCTAGTTATATTCGATGTGAAACGTCGCTGGAATCTTTAACGCCTAGTTAAAACTCATCTATTTAACATTGCATTAACACATAGACATTATATTTTTAGGTTACATTTGATTTGAGTTCTATTTTATTGAAAATGTTATATTATTGTCGTTTCAGATCATATTTTACAAAGTTGCAGTCCGCTATTAATAATCAGGAATTGTTATAGGATTGTCGTAAATTAAGTATATCTATATTTTACAGTGTTGCAGTCCGCTGTTTTATAATCAGCCTTTGTAATGCGCATGTGAACATATCTGCATGTAACATGCGCAATATAAATCAATATTTTAAATATTATATTATTATTTATGTGTTCAAAAGGTTTCGTATTGGAAACGACAAAACGTGATTCACAGAAAAGAGCTTCCATGATCAAACGGGGCTACAATTACAAATGTGTAGAAATAAATGGCATTTGAACCTAAAAGTTTACTAGACAGCTAACCCTGGTGGGATTCCAACGTAATGTTGAAGACATCATAAATATACTATTACTAGCCAATCAAATGTGGTGTACCGCCGGTTAGATACAATAATGTAACCCAACAAGAGCAGGGTTCTCCCCAGGATGAAATTGAAACAGGGGAGGGAGGGGAGGGTGAGGGGGGAAGGAGAGGGGAAGGGGAAACTGGGGGGGGGGGGTCCGGGGGGCATGTTTTTTACACGTAATGCGTAAATCGCCACCACACCATAGACAGTATTTGGGGTACTTGTATATAAGACAGCCGAGTCGTACAGTTTGTGTTAAGGTTTGTGACAGGGTGACTGTTTGTACTTGTGTGTGGTCTGCAGTGCATGCGTAGTGTAGGACGGTTACTCATTAGTGTACCGTAAAAATACACGCGTCCGGGGGCTGGTCGAATGGGAATTCTAACGATCGATTCCCGCGCTGTCAAACTTTATTGGTGGTGGAATTAATCGGCGGCGGAGGTAATTTAAACGGGGCGCAACAATTGAAACGTGGGGGGTTTTCCCAAACGGGGCGGGGCGCCCGGTTGCGCAACGTAGGAGAACCCTGAAGAGTAACCCTACTCTTGTTGGGTTACATTATTGTATCTAACCGCCGGTGTACGGTATAGCGGAAGTGGATACGTAGCTCTGCCGTATCATGTATATGGTTAAATATCCACTGGCACTGGCCTATTAAAATATATAAATAACACATGTGACATAGCAATAAACAACAACAACAGCATACGTATGTTTTTGGTGCAATTCTATATACCTTATCAGGAATAACTTGTTTTTATGAATACCACGAAATCTCCGTTCTGCAGCCGGGACGTTTGTTTTGTGATTGCAAGCCGAGCATGCCTCTCAGTCTCAGTGATACTCATAGTCCGACTAGTCGTTTCACCGCTATAGATTCATTTGTATTTGTTTCCGTCACGCGAATTAGAAATAGCAGTACTTTATCGATTGTTTAAGTCACAAATTAAACCTGCAGACGCTAGTGTAAGAGTCCAAGCTTGATTCATCATAATAAAATAATGTTGATTCTACCAGAGTACGTATGTAATGCTACTGCAGTTTTACATACTACAGCGCCATCTCTGGGTTACTTTATGAATAAAGAGTCGTTCAGGGGTCGTAGAAAAGCAAAATAAACCTATTCACATGTCGCTGGAGAGAACAATGTGACAGATAGTATTATTAAATTTTAACAGAGGGTTATGAAACATTATAAACGATGAACAGCTTTGCTATGTCGCTACGATCGTTAAATGCGTATTTTACTCCGCTCCCTGTTTTCGGAAAGCTCAACCAGCTCAACTGTGTGTGTCCATTTTATACGCAACACTACTTCCGTTACTTCAGTACCGAAAAACTTTTAACTTCTTAACTTTGCAGTCTTTTGTTTAAAGTTATCTAAAACGTTATTTATGTATTAATATATATACAAATTACTATGTTGATAATATATGGTTAAAGAAAGTGGAGATCACCACTAAGCAACCGTTAAAGTG